GAGCAAAATCACTGAATCCTCCAATCACATTGGTGAATGAGGACCAAACAGAACCCAACCTCAATAGTGCGATCCCCTGGCCCTTCCTCCCTGCCTTGCATCCTCTCTCCCTCCCTGGCCTCCTCCTGCAGTTCCTGATACTCTTGTGTCTGATTCCAGATGAGTACCCTGGGGCTGGCTCCTCCAGCCTCTTCTCCGTGCTGAGCCCCAGAGGGATGGTGAAAAGGGAGCTCCTGCGTGATGTGGTGGGGGGCTGCGGCTATCGGATCAACAACCACTTGGACCTGGAGTACTCACCACTGCCCGTGAACAAGATTATCAGTTCTGCGGAGGGGATGGTTGGTAAGGAGAAGGAGTACAGTATTGTGAACGGGAACTGTGAGCACTTTGTCACCTCTCTGAGATACGGCAAGGCCCGCAGCCTGCAGGTAAGGCCTTCTCTGGGGGTCTCCCTCTCCCTTCTGGAGGTCTGCTTGGGATGGGGGTGACAAGGCAGAGGCAAGAATTACCCTGAATAATTCAAAAGGGAGCTCTCAGGGTCTTGTTGGCTGGGAGTCAGGACATCTGAGAACAAATCTCGCATCTGCTTTTAAACCACTCAGGGTCTTTGGACAAGGTACTTCCTCTCTAGCCTCAGTTTCCCCATGTGCAGAAGGAGGGATTTTGGAGGACCTCTGGGGTTCTGGCCACCTCTGTCCCTTTAGGATCCTTCACCTCTATGATCTACCCTAAAGGCAGCTCCTGATGCCCTGTGTGCTGTCAGGGAAATTCTGGGCCAACCAGGGACCATGACAGGTCTCCTAAGGCCCCAGAGAGCCCTCGGGCAAGAGATGCTCAAGGTCTGTGGCCCATGTATGAGCTCGAGGACATGTTATGTAAGGTCTGGGCACATCTTTACTGCTCTCTCTTCCCCCTCTTACCAAAGCACAGCTAGTAAGAGGCACAAGCAGGATTCAATGCCCAGTGCTCCTGTCTCTTTCTGCTGAACCACAGCACCTCCAGGGCTCACAGCCCCTGTGATTGGGTGATGGGCAGCCTGGATGGAGGAGATGAGGGGAGGAGGAGCAGGATTGGGAGGGAAATTAAGGGTCTGATGCTCAGGTGGGGTGTTGAGGTGACCAGTTAGACATCCAGGTGGACCTGTTGAGTAGCAGTTGGACATGTGAGTCTGGAGTTCAGGGCTGAGGTGGGGCTGGACATAGAAGTTTCCAGGCTGCACTTGGGAACAGTACACAGAGCACGGTGATCCCTGAGGCCATGCTTTCCCATCCTCTCCCCGCAGCCCTGCCACCACCTCCCTCTGCAAAGGTGGAGCCCAGGTAGAGCCCCCTCCACAGAGCCATTCCCACTTTCACCCCAAGAGCTGTGGTCCCAGGGGCCCAGGCAGGAAGCCTCCACCCCTACCCACCTCCATCAGGACCAAATGGCCCCACCTAGGAGGCTCTCACAGAAGGATCACATCTGTACATCCTGCCAGTTGTCAGGACACATCCGGACAAGCCCAGCACTAACAATGGTCACACCTTCCGCTTCCCAGGGAAAGGGTTGTTGGGACAAGGCCAGCATCTCTGAGAGGCCAGGCCCCCAGGGAGGGCGGGAGCATGAGTGTGGCCTTCAGCCCCTTTGGCGGGAGGAAGAACCTGCCTGGACTTGCTGTGGACTCTGAACCTGGGCTGCTTCCTTTCAGGCAGAAAAGTTCCTGACTGGAGCAAGTGTGAGCCTTGGAGCCATATTTATGGCTAGTGTGGTCTGTTCTGTCATGAAGAAGCGATCCCAACGCCAGTGACAGCCTGAAGGGGCACAAAACCCCGAGTTAGAAGCCGCTGTAGAGCTGACCTCGCACAGTCCCGTCCCCCTGACCCCAGCTCTCGGGGAACCTGTCGTTCTGTCTCTCACTGTCCCTCTCTCACTGGCTGAAGGATGGACTGATTGTGCCAACACTGAGGAATTCATACGTGAACCTCCATACCCGAGCTCAAACCTGTCGTTCGGTCTCTCACTGTCCCTCTCTCACTGGCTGAAGGATGGACTGATTGTGCCAAGACTGAGAAATTCATACCTGAACTTACATACCCTCCAGGGAGGAATTGCGCTCCTTCTGTGGCTCCTAAAGCAGAACGGAAGCACCTGGGCACCTGGTGGGGACCCAGCGTTTGCTGTCTGTGTGACCTGGAGAAAGCTCTGGACTCTCAGTTTTGTTTTTCTTTCATATTTTTTTCAGAGAGGAAGGGTGAAGGAGAGAGAGAAACATCAGTAATGAGAGAGGATCATTGATCGGCTGCCTCCTGCATGTCCCACACGAGGGATTAAGCCCAAACCTGGGCATATGCACCGATCCAGAATTGAACTGTTACCTCCTGGTTCGTAGATCAACGCTCAACCACTGAGCCACCGGGCTTGTTGTTCTTTTTTAACTCAAAGGTCAAGTCCTCACCCATCTGTGATGACCACATGGAATTAAATCATCTTCCCGTGCCCAACTTGCCATGGCTCAAGCTGCCCCTCATTGAATACTGAAATGAATCACGTCCACTTTGAGGGCAGTGAAACTCCTATTTGAAAGTGTAAGGATGGATACGTGTCATGATATTGTGTCCAGATTCATAGAATGCACCACACCCAGAGCG